ACTCCAGAGCCGCAACAAAGTACTCAAAGCGCTAGCCGGCAGCACATGGGGTAAAGATAAAGAAACTTTGCTGGCTACTTACAAAGCAATTGGCCGGCCGGTCGTAAACTATGCTGCTCCGATCTGGACGCCGGGGACGAACGGGACGCAGATGAAGAAGCTACAGGCTTGCCAAAACACCGCCCTCAGGACTGCGACAGGAAACCTCCTGATGTCGCCGGAGCATCACTTGCACTGGGAAGCATCTATGCTACGAGTTAAGGAGCATAATGTTTTGCTGTGCAAGCAGTTCCTACTGGGATGCTACCGCAGGGAGCACTTAATAGGGCTGAACCTCCACCTAGGCACATCAGGAAGGGAGTACTAGACTTTAAGGACACGATCCAGCAACACACACAACAACCGCTGGACAGGACGGCGTATTGACAAGCACTGAACGCCATTCACCTGGAGTCAGTTAACACCTTCATGAACTCCCTTCCAGTGAATGGTGTACTCGGAGAAATACCACCACCCATAGCAGACAACGAGCTCGAGCTGCCTCGAAAGACCCGCGTGACCCTGACACAACTCAGGTCTGGATATTGTAGCAGGTTAAACTCCTACCTATCCAGACTAGACCCCAGCATACCTAACGTATGCCCGGCATGTGGAGAGTCCTCGCACGACACTAACCACCTCTTCACATGCCCCCTCAAACCTACTCATCTAAACCCCCTCTCCCGCTGGTCCAACCCCGTCGAAACAGCTCGTTTCCTGAATCTACCATTAGATGACCTCGGCGACTTAGACTAATTAAGCCTGTGCCTAAGCGGGGTTAGCGAACCGCTACAACTACAACAACAACAACACCAAAATAAAAGATCAACATGCAGAAATTTGTCAATTTGCTGATGTCTTTATAATATACTCACATGGACAAAATATTGAAATAACAACCCAAAGAAATTCAAGAAAATCTTTTCAACCAAGTCTGACAAGAACTAAATCTAAGTTTCAATATAGCTTAAATTAAAATAATGTATGTTAGCAAAGGTAGAAAAAACAAGTCCACGTTACTGCAAACAATACTAGTATAGCACAAACCAACTCTATAAAATTTTTATGTTGTAAATTGAATTGTGAATTCCGAAAGCAACTCCACTTTTTTCAAACTAATTACGACTATCAAAGCAGGACTCAGACCTAAGGCAGCAATCAACTTCTACAAAGTCTTTGATTGATTGTGATTGAGTACTGCCGAACATCCACAGAAAACTGCTCCAAGGCAGTTAACAAAAAAATACTAACTTTTCAAAACAACTTCTTACGAAGAGCATTAGGAGTCACACCACCTTCCCCAATCCCATTAACATACGTTTTAGCAAACGAACTACCACCCCCCATAGAGCAGGCTGGCTGACAGCTAAAGAATTAATTAAGAGCATAACAGCAAATAATTTCTTATAATATTCAATTGAAAATCACCCCAATGTTAACTCAATTTACAGCTCAACATATAAACAATATATAGAAATATTCGACAACTTAGGAATAATAGAACAAAATTGACCGCTATAGAACGAAGTAATTAAAATAAAAACACTCACATCGAATAAAAACAATACCCCTAGAGACAATATTGTTGCGAAAATGCGAGGCGAATGTCAGATGAAAGAGAGAAGCCGATAACTAGTACGTTCTAGAAACGATAAAACAAGAACCTTCCATAGCGAACAATTCGATGCTTCTACGCTTTCGTCTGCGAGCAGCCGACTGCTATATAAAGGCGACACTCAGCTGCAAGTCAAGTTAGTGATAAAGTAAACTCGTTGGCGTTAACATCAGTAAAGTCGTAAAGTAAACGTGTTGGGATTACATTTAAGTAGAGTAAATTGTGAAAGTTGATGATAGTGATTGTAAATAATTAAGTGTATGGTAATTGAATTGTGAATTACGGAGTAAATAAAGGACATTAGATTAATTCTTTATAACGAAAGATACTGCAAATTGAATTGGCGAGTTTTTATTTAACAATCCAGAGATCGTACCCGAAGGATTTAGAAAATAATCGAGGTTGATTTAGTAAAATCGTAACAATATATAAATGATTTACAACAAATTTTTTGACGACTAAAAGAGGAGTACCTTTCAACTTTTATTCACATACGCGTCAGTTCGGAACAAGTACACCGGATGTGAAAAACTTAACATTTTAAACCCTAACTTATATAAAATACAAAAATGGTTTGACCTTCTGTAATACTATATACCCTCCACCCAACTTCTCACTTTCCGAGGCATAGCCGTTATACACACATGCCCACTTTGAAATCATGCTTGACACCTCGTAAAAGATGTCAAAACAAATTGTCAAACAAACAATTCACAAAGACAATTTCAAAACAATAGTCTAGAGCTAAACAAAGAGGAGACATGCCACTTCTCACTTGAGCAATACATAATATAGGAAATCACCAGAAAAAAATTTCAGATACATCCAGTAGACAATAGTCTCCAATCGAAAAAAAAACACTTAAAAAATACAAAACGAAGCGGAAATAAAAATATCCAGTAGACATCGTTCTACACTCATGTTTGTATTCACGACCAAGAATAACAACCTGTCTTCTGCGAGCAAATCGCCCCGCAAACAAAAAATAATAAAAGAAAAAAAAACAAAATAAACAAAAAAAAAAAAAGATCACGAATATTTAAGACATTAGAAAAATTATTTTTGGTATACTCATCAAAGTTGATTCTAGCGTAAAAACGTGTACAGTGGCTCAATAAAGAACTCGGTAACCGCTACAAAAACAACAACAAAGAACTCGGACATACATCCCACTGTTATTAACATGCAGCTTCAAAAATACCAATAACAAACAAATTAAATAGTTTACAGGTCTCCTATACCCTGTTTCAAAAAATTAACATGTTGAATGCTAGAAATTTCGCCAAAAAAGAAGTAGGACATCTGGTAATATCATAGGTCCATGACATATTAAAGAGGGTAATCTCACAATTAGTTTGTTTTCGTTTAAATATACATATCTATAAAATCAAACGTAATAGCTTAGAATAAAATTTCAATATTTGTTTTTTTTTTTTTTTTTTTTTTGAAAAAAAAAAAAAAATGGTGAAAAGTTATAAACATGGGTAGACAGCGTGGACAAAGCTCAGATGATGTAAGGAAGTCATTATGAAATAGGAAACGCCATTGAGCAGACGCCGCTCGACTGTGCATGACGTGATTAAACGATTCAAACAAGCAAAATCCGTGGAAAACAAAAATAAGTCTGCACGACCGAAGTTGTTTTCGGCTGCAGATGAGCGGTGGATAGTGTAGCGATTCAAAAAAAAAAAAAATCAAAACATGAGCGCTCCCAAGCTCTCAACAGAAGTTTTGCAACATCTCTATATAAATTGTAATCCGGAGAGTATCTGAATAGTCTTACGAAAAAATAATTATAGTGGAAGAGTAGAACGGAAGAAACCATTTATAAACGAGGTTAACCGAAACAAAAGGATAAAATTTGCAAAATGTCATGGGGATAAGGATTTTCAATTCTGAAAAAGTTTTATTTGCAGATGAAAGCATATTGAATATATTTAGGTCAAATGGACAGTCTTATGTTTGGAGAAAACCGAATGAAGAGTTGCTAGAAAAGAATTTACGTCCAACTGTTAAACACGGGGGCGGCTCAGTAATGGTATGGGGTTGTATGTCCGCAGCTGGTGCTGGAAATTTGTGTTTCATAAATCGGAATATGGATCACAAGCAATATCTGACCATTTTAAAAGAAAAATTTAGTGCAAAGTGCGGAAAAGTTGGGAATTAAAGATAATTTCCAGTACTACCAAGACAACGATACTAAGCATAAAGCACTTGATGTCCGTCTATGGCTGATGTATAACTGTCCTAAAGTGCTTGAAACACCTCCTCAATCTGCCGACATTAACGTAATTGAACATCTGTGGGCTCATTTGGAAAATAAACAGAAAATGCATGTTATTAGAAATAAGAAAGACCTAGAAGCCGGTATTTTGGAAATTCTTTAGCATGCAAGAAGCTAGTTGCCTCTCTGCCAACAAGTGTGAATGCTATCAGAAAAAGTAAAGGCTTGCCCACCAAATATTAAGAATATTTTGTTTCTCCTTAAATAATATTTTTAAATTCTATATTATGTATATGTCCGAGTTCTTTTTAGTCATCCTTTTTGTTAAGTTGTTATGTTCATATTATTTTTATACGACTGAGTTGAATCTAGTTTGTGGTTCTGGTTGTTTTGAAAAATACACTTGAAGAATAGAAATATATGTTAAACAGAAAGCCTCGATTTGCATTTTATTATATATTTTTTTGTTTGAAGTCATATAACTTGGGTGTCCGAGTTCATTTTTGAGCCACTGTATATACTTCCCTTTACTAACTAAAGTAAACAGATGAACAAACGCGTTTTAGCAATAAATATGATGAAAAATATTTATAGATTGATAAAAATAATTATAAAACGGCTTAAACGTTATTTGCCATTATTATAAGTGATATTTAAGTGTTTCGTGTACAAATATTGGTGTTTATTCGAGAATGTCGGTCGGTCAATATTGAAACTATCACAGCAATTCTCCACAAAGCTCGAGGAAAGACTTAAAATTTTGGATGTGTATGACCCACACAAAATACATAAATAATAATGAAAAAAAAAAAAACGTTTATACCGATTTTATTTAATTAATTTTATCAATTTAGAAATTCTACTTTTCATGCTGGCAGCGGGAGACACACACAAAGCCAATGAAGCGATGAGCTAATCGACATAAGTTATCTAGAAGAGGTTACCGCAATTCTGGTAACCTCTTCGTTTGAAGTGGAAAGAGAGATACACCTTCACTTCGATGGACGGAAATCTTTCCGAATAGCGTTAAAATCGTTGCCTACGGCTTTTGAAAAGGAAAAGACAATTAATGCAAAACATGCATTATCAACAAATTCACTATTTTCACAAAATTTTGCTTACCCGTAACATATGGCCAAAAGATGAACACACCAAGTTCCACACCAGAATACGAAGAGACAAACTGCGAAACCATTTAATGAGCTTGGTAAATGTGTCATGTTGTTTATCGAGCACAAAACTTTTATTTAATATAAGCTTCGATTCTCAGTTTTTTCTTCAGAAGTTGTACGCGTTATAGTTTTTATACAACTTTCTTTTATATATCATATTTGCTAAATTTATTTATATAAATAAAAATACTTGTTTATTAACCATATGATTTCGAAAAAGAAGTAGTATTAAACGAAAGGGACGAGTTCACAGATTACGAATATGTACGCCACAACTTTCATACATTAAGAACAATATTTTTGATATACTTTTCATAGTTGTAGCAGCACGGTTTTTTCTGATTCTAGCGGGCATATATAACTTGAAAAAATTTATTAAAGGAAACAGCATATAGCATATTAGTCATTATAAGTAATATTTCAATGTTTCGTGAGCTCATATTGGCTTTTTTTCGAAAACGTCAGTCGGCCAATATTGAAACTGTAACAATAAATTCCTAGAAAACTAAAGGCTACCTAAATGAACGACTTAAAACTTCGGGATGTGTATGGCCTACTCTAACCCTCCAAAAGATGTTTGTGTATGCCTGGACGCCCTCGTAAAGTTTTCTCAAATTGTCGATTGTACGCCAATATAATTTGGGGATCGAACCATGAGTAGAAGCTCACGCAAGTGAGGACAGTTTTTGACAACTAGTAGAGAACTGTAAATCGTACACAAAACCTTTCTCTCGATAGCTCCTATAGCCGCCTCATCAGATGTTGACAGCGTCCACGCTACTGCGCAACATAGTAGGTCACAATACCCGACTTCTAGTTTAAATTTGATTCGTAGGGTAGTTTTCGGTCGCCTACTCAGTCCAAGGCAGAACCTGTTGGCAAGAGTAATTTTGCATTGAATTTCCAAGCTGACATGGTTGTTGGTGTTAGTACTGGACTGTAAACAGTGCGTTGGTGCGATGATAGGAAAGATTTAGTCTTGCCATCGATCACTACCAGACCCATATCCTCTGCTTTCCTATCCAGTCTTGAAAAAGCAGAGCTCGCGGCGTGGTTGTTGAGGACAATAATGTCAATGTTATCGCCAGCAGCTGTACACTCTTATAGAATGTTGTACCTTCTCTTTTCAGGTCTGCAGTTCACAGTCACACAATAAAGAATCACCGTGTCGATCTTCTTATTAAGGGTCTTTTCCTAAGATTTGGAGCATGGCGAATACAAATCTGAAGCCACACTGATATTGTCACCCTGTTTGAAACATCGTTTGGTATCGAACGGATCGGAGAAGTCCTTCCCAATTCTGACTGCGCTCTTGGTGTTGTCTAGCATCAGCTTACACAGCAGTAAAAGTTTTGCGGGGATACCGAATTCAGGTATAGCGGCGTAAAGGCAGCTAATATTCGTGCTGTCGAAGGCGGCTTTAAAATCGACGAAGAGGTGGTGATTATTTGTGGCATGGTAAATATCTGGTCAATGGTTGACTTACCAGGTTTGAAGTCACACTGATAAGGTCCAAGTTTGTTGACGGTGGCCTTCAGTATTTTACACAATACCCTCGACAGGACCTTATAAGCGATATTAAGGAGGCTTATCCCACGATAATTGGTAGATTGTAGGGTCTCCTTTTTTATGGATTGGGCAGCGCACAATCAAATTCCAATCGTCGGGCATGCTTTCTTCTGATCATATTCTGCAAAGTAGCTGATGCTTGCACCTTGTCAACTCTTCACTGGCCTGTTTGAAAAGTTCTACCTCCACTCTCAAGACAACACCTCTACGTGCCATAAAACATCTGACAAAAAACAATCAGTAGGTAAATCGGTCGCCTGCTCACCGTTGATGTAGCTAAGCATACAAAAATACATATATATCTTTTTCATAGGCGTGCATTCCGCCCATTATACAATTTCAAGACAAATATTCTAGCGTAATCAACTGCAGAGTGCTGATGTCGAAATCAAGCCTGGTCCAACGGACTTCTTCTGCTGGGTGTGTCAAAAAAGACTCCAACACTCCTCCACCTCGGTAAGGAGCAACCAGTGCAGAGGTTGAAGTCATCTTAAGGTCTGCAACTCTCACGACAGCAGGTTCTACGCACCGGAGTTGACCCGGATTTTACCCGGCCAGGGCTGTCACCCATTCGGCGACCAAACCCCGTTTAGGTCAACAGTTAACTTTAGTCTAAGTTCGCCAATGGAGCAACACCTTGCAGCTGGGTTGCTCCAAATCCTTTTGATCAGGGCTGGTGCAGAAACCAACCCTGCACCGAAGGATTATTTCTGCTAAGGCATTACGACTCACAGGGAATGGACCACGAGTTATGTGGCCCCATGCTGGCAGTGCCTTCAGCACCTGTACCCACTCTGGGTAATCAGCAGACCTCTACGATCTTACGGAGCTCCCTGCAGCATGATTCTCTCCAACCTCCACCCCTATCCCCACCCACAACCTTATCCTCCTCCCGTGCGAGGGCTACCAAGCAGCTCCTATTACCCCACACTGTCTGTTCCGTGTGTCAGACCATAGTGCGTCGGAACGTGACCTAAGTCAGATGCAACCTTTGCTCTGGCTGGTGTCACTTTCGGACTGCGCCCCACCCGTGAGTGGAGCAATGCGCATGTTGCCCCGTGCTGTAGGAGTCTGCCCCCGCATGTCTCTACAAACCCTCCGCCAACCAACACCAACGTGCGGAACAAACTCTCGCGGGTTGTACAGCAGCAACACACTCCCCCCACGGTGGGGGTTTAGCGTTCATCCTGCACAACACGGTGCAGTATCGTCTCATCGATGGCGACATCGGCCGCAGGGATACTACCCTAGAATGCCAGGTCATAGCTATCCGGTCAGGCGATGTCGAGCTCGAAATAATCAATAAATACATTCCTCCAGTTTCAAGTTGCCCAGCAGGATACACCCCTGACATGGGTGCGCTACTTAGGGGCGAAAACCGTTTGGTTTTGGGCGACTCTAACGCGCATCACGATCTTTGCCATTCTAGCCTGTTAAATGACCGTAGAGGAATGGAGCTGGCAGAACAGATAGACGATTCGACATTCCGCACAATGAACGAATGCCAAAGCTCGCCAAACATAACAATTGCGAGTGCTGGCCTGATAAACAGTATAGTCTGGCGAGCTATACTGACGTTAGCATCGGACCACTTGCCCACACAAATCTCGATTGACAGGCCTCCCGACTTTGTCTCCGCGGACCACCGGACATTTGTTAACTTTAAAAAAGCTAACTGGCCAGGATTCAAGGAATTTACTGAGAACGCCTTCAGTGCTCTACCCACTCCAACTGACGTCACCGCTGGTGAACGCTTATTCCGCAGGGTCGTCGTGACCGCTGCCGCCCGCTTCATCCCGGCAGGCCCAGTGACGGTAATCCGCCCAATATTTCCGACAGAAGCGGCGGTATTAGCATCCAGGCGCGACACCCTCCGAAGCTCCGATCCGGGAATCCCCTAATCAGGGATTTAAACGCGGAGATTCGAAGAGTTGTCAACAATCACAAACGGAAAAAGTGGGAGTGGCACATAAGGACCTGCAACCTCTCCTCTGGGGCAACAAAGCTCTGGGCTACAGTCAAGTCGCTGTCTAACCCGACGAGACGCGATGACCGGGTGGAAATTTCCAAACACCAGCGCGGTGCTTGATTTCTCCAGGGAGGTGGTTCAGGGGGTCATCGAGAAGGAGAAAGCCTCCAATTCCATCGGCCCGGACGGAATAAGCATGCTGATGCTGAAACACCTTGGACCAGCGGGAGCAGAATTTCTCACGAGGGTCCTCAATTTGTGTTTGACCACCCTGAAGGTACCCGATTTGTGAAAAATGGGTAGGGTGGTTCCGCTACTTAAACCGAGGAATCCAGCCAAAAAAGGAGAGTCCTATCGGCCGATAACTCTCCTCTCCCCAGTAGCGAAGATACTTGAGGTGCTCCCGACTTTCACTCACCATCTGCGTCCAGCAGCGTATCAGCATGGCTTCTGAAAAGTGCACAGTACCACAACAATACTTAACGCCATAAACACCCAGATAGTCCATGGCCTTAACCAAAACCGACCCTGCGCGCGGACTGTGCTAGCAGCACTGGACTTGTCAAAAGCTTTCGACACAGTCAATCACTCAGTGCTATTAACGGACATTGAGGAATCCTCATTACCGCCGGGGTTGCAGAGGTGGGTCATGGGCTACCTGAGTGGATCTAAACCCAGGAAAATTAAACAGGGGGTTCCGTAGGGTGGTGTCCTCTCCCCGCTTCTGTTTAATTTTTACATATCGAAACTCCCTCTACCACTAGAAGGAGTTTCCCTAACCTCGTATGCCGATGACTGTACGATAATGGCGTCTGGCCAGGATATTGATGACCTCTGCTCGAAAGTAAACGGCTACCTCGCTGATCTCTCCCACTTCTTCACTGCAAGATAACTACAAATCCAACCGAAAAAATCCTCGGCTACCCTCTTCACCAGCTGGACGAAGGAATACAGGCTGGAACTGGATGTAAAGGTCGATGACGAAAAAATTCCGACGATAAATAACCCAAAAATATTGAGAGTAACTCTAGACAGCCTGCACTCCTTTACTCCGCATACGACCGCAAAACTCCAGAGCCGCAACAAAATACTCAAAGCGCTAGCCGGCAGCACCTGGGGTAAAGACAAAGAAACTTGCTTGCTACTTACAAGTCAATTGGGCGACCGGTCGTAAACTATGCTGCACCGATCTGGACGCCGGGGCGAACGAAACGCAGATGAAGAAGCTACAGGCTTGCCAGAACACCGCCCTCAGGACCGCGACAGGAAACCTCCTGATGTCACCGGAGCATCACTTGCACAGGGAACTATCTATGCTACGAGTAAAGGAGCATAATGCTTTGCTGTGCAAGCAGTTCCTACTGGGATGCTACCGCAGGGGGCACCAGAGTAGGCACCTAATAGCCGCTGAGCCTCCACCTAGGCTTATCAGAAAGGGAGTACTAGTCTTAAAGGACACAATCCAGCAACACATACAACAACCGCTGGACAGGACGGCGTACCGACAAGCACTGAACGCCATTCACCAGGAGTCAGTCAACACCTTCAAGGACTCCCTTCCAGTGAATGGCGTACTCGGAGAAATACCACCACCCATAGCAGACAACGAGCTCGAGCTGCCTCGGGGGATCCGCGTGACCCTGACACAACTCAGGTCTGGATATTGTAGCAGGTTAAACTCCTACCTATCCAGACTAGACCCCAGCATACCCAACGTATGCCATGCATGTGGAGAGTCCCCGCACGACACTAACCACCTCTTCACATGCCCCCTCAAGTCCACTCATCTAACTCCCCTCTCCCTCTGGTCCAATCCCGTTGAAACAGCTCGTTTCCTGGACCCATTACTAGAGGACCTCGGCGACTTAGACTGAACAAACTTGTGCCTAAGCGGGGTTAGCGAACCGCTACAACAACAACAACATCTTAAGGTCTGTTCAGGCCTTAACACACATACGGAGTGGACAAGTTATGTCGCTCCACGCTGCCAGCTCTCAAACGCCCCCCAGCCTTCACAGCAGCGCCTTCTTTACCTACTTTGGTTAATCAACAAATCGCTACGGCTTCACGGAGCTCCCCGCAGTGTGACAATGAACAATAACACCCCCACCAGAGTTGTGCGTAATTGCCAAAGCTCACCAGACGACAAAAATATTGCGAGTGTTTGTCTGATAAACAGTATAGTCTGGCGATCTGTACTGACATTAGCAACGGACTACTTACCCATACAAATCTCGATTGACAGCCCTCTTGACTTTGTTTCCGCGGATCACCGGACATTTGCAAACTTTAAAAAAGCTAACTGGTCCGGCTTCACGGAATTCACCGAGAACGCCTTCAGTGCTCTCCCCACTCCATCAGGCGTCACTACTTGTGAACGTTTATTGTGCAGAGACGTTGTGACCGTTTCAGCCCGCTTCATCCCGGCAGGCCGAATTGAGGAAATCCGCCCAAATTTTCGACAGAAGTGGCGGTATTAGCATCGAGGCGCGACACCCTTCGAAACTCCGATACCGGGAATTTCCCAATCAGGGATTTCAACGCGGAGATTTGCAGGGCAGTTTACAAACATAAGCGGAAAAATTGGGAGGAACACTTAAGGACCTGTAACCTCTCTTCTGGGGCAACCAAGCTCTGGGCTTGTCAAATCGTTGTCAAACCCACGACACGGAGGAAAATTTCATTCAGTGGTCGCGCTTCGTCGGACCCAAAGAGATGCCCGCGGCAGACTCCTACAGCACGGAAGTATAAGTTCTATATATCTATTATTTTAGAATCTCTCTCGGTACATTTAAAATTTATTCACCGACATTTGTATGTAGCAACAAGAAAATACATTGTCAATTCGAAAAGCAGCGTGTTTTGATAATTTTCTACAACCCTTAACAGGATAATTTTTCTCAACGTAACTTTTTACAGGAAAACCCCTGTAATCCACAAAATAAATTTTAACGACACATATTCTAATGCTCACATAAACTAACTTTTAATTTTCTGACTATCGTGTTATTTAAGTGTCACTTCTGCCTTCACATACGATGTCACAAACTGGCTTACTTTTTTTAAAATGAATCACACTTTAAAAAAACTTTTCTTATGATAACAAAATCCGATACGAAATCACTGCTATAGCGACCGCTTTATTTAATTCAAACCCACATAAAATTTGAAGCACCATATATGTATATATAACACAGCATTTGAGAAAAACTCATTAACGGTTGCTAATATTTTATTTTATATGACTGTAGACTTTCTTTGCTGTACAGATAATTTTCATCGGTAAAATCGAATGAAAAGCAAACTAAAAAAAAAAAACAAACTAAAAATAAATCCACAACCCATAACGCAAAATTGCAGTTATGATTACATACTAAAGATATTCATTAACATTATCGATATAAAAAAAATTAAGCAAGTGAAATTGAGTGCAGCCCGAGCACAAACAGAATAGCCGCTACCGGCGACGAGCCACGAGCTAGGAAAACTTAACTAGAACATAATATATTAATTAACAAACGAAATTACAATGAATCGGCATTTCCACGCCAGCCCACTTACATGTTTCGCTCTCTTATTTGTTATTCGCCAAATGCATGTCCTATTATATAATTCGACATACAAATTTTAGTGAGCGAATTACAGCAAAAGCGGGAAATTCGTTCTTAATCGCCATGCGAATTACGACTAAATCGATGCCTCTCTAATTCTTATGGAAATTTGAACGAAACCAGCTGAAAAATCAAAACAAAAGAAGAAAATCGTAAAGGAGAACACAACAGATACACAAAGATTACTTGGCTAATATCTTTTATTTCCCATGCGTTTTCAAACGGAAGAAACAAGCGAAAAGGAAAACTGTCAAATTGCGAGCCGTAATTCGGATGATTCGTTCCGTACTTGGGAGGAAGAACAATGTATTTCACGATGGCTTGGAATAGCCGTATTACACAGACACATAATTATCGATATAGAAATGGTCAATTCGATATTTTTTTTAATTTAACGAAAAATTTTCATAAGCTGTACAATCGAATATAGATACCTCCACGTATGTGAATGCGTAAATTCAAATGGGAACATATGCAGAATACAAAGCCCTAAAGTGCAAATTTTTATTTTCGCAGAAGGCGAGGGTGCATTTTCCATAATTTTTAAAGCTTTATTTGGAAAAGTTGGTATCGTTGGAAAAGTGAGTGACATTTCATTTTTTTTCTTTTCATACTATATTAAGGCAATGTAATGAAGTGGAAGCCATCATCACTGATTCATCGGAAAACGACTCCATTAGCAGGAAGGACTTGGAGGAAGANGGAAAATAATCGAGGTTGATTTAGTAAAATCGTAACAATATTATATTATGTTCTCATTTTACTCCTTTCTTTGGATATTTAAGTATTAAGCATTAACATTGTAAAAGGTTAAATTCATTTGAACAGTGACATGCAAATAGCGCACACGCGTTGAACGTATAATCTTACGCTGTATTCTTTTACAAGCATGATTAGTAGCTCAGCATGAATTGGTGCGGTGTAATGGGGAGAAGTAAAGCTTCTTGCGTCCACGTCGTGCACCTTGGAAACGTGAGCAGCCCTTGTGAAAGATACTGTAACCAACCCGTGTGGAGCCTTGGATCACGGCTATTGAGAGAGGAAACTTCAGTGGGGCCACCCCGACTTATTCTGCTTAAGGATCCTCTGAAGTCTTATTGCAGCGTCTGTTCACCAGAGGTGCGACTGCGAGCGGGCGTCGCTCTTGAAGCAAGCGGCTCGATATATACAAATATGTAAAAAATGTTGAACTTACTCACCTGGCACTCTACGCAAGTTGAGCATTTCCTTTTTCCCGTTATGATTGCTTACGAACACAGGATTTCAGGAAATTTTTAAAGTTTGGAAAACACTCTTAAGAATATACAATATCTTAATTGATTATTTATAAATAAGAAGTATTCAAAAAGAAAAAGTTTTTATTAAAACAACTTTCACCCATCGAATTGGACTTGAGTTCGAACCATACGAATATCTTTTCCTTGGCATTGAACTCAGCTCTTTTGATTTCCGGAGTGTAGGCTGATTCATCTTCCAAGGGTGTTGAAGTAGGTTCTTCTATATATACCAATAAATCGAGAATACAGACCTTAAATTCTTCCATTAGCTTGTTTGTTTAATTAGATTAAAGATTAGCTTCAAACGACAAAATTGGGTAGGGTTCTTTGTGAAGACTATGAAAAAGCTTGATTAATTTTGCAAAAAGTCGACTTTTTTCTATGTATTCGAATAAATCGGGAATACAGAAATTAAATTCTTCCGTTATGTTTGTTAAATTAAATTCAAAATTAGCTTCAAACGAAAAATCTATGTAGGGTTCTTTGTGAAAAATAGCAAAAAGTTAGATAAATATGGGTATTGTTTAAATAATAGTATTGTTTTACATTTAACGTTAAATTAGTGAATGAACTTACAAAATGGATCCCGAAAAAAATTCTTTACTGGGTTTTCAGAAATTTTTCCTACTGGGTATTCGAAAATTTTTCCTAATGACTGTGCACTAACAAAATATACATTAGGCTTAAGCATGAGTTGATATTGTTACGATTTTGCTAAAACAACCTCGATGATTTTCTGAATCCTTCGGGTACGATCTCTGGATTGTTAAATAAAGCTCGCCAACTTAATTTGCAGTTTCTTTCGTTATAGAGAATTAATCTAATGTCCTTTATTTACTCAGTAGTTCACAATTCAATTAAACTGCACTTTACTAGCTACACTAACTTGCATAAACTTTCACAATTTGCTCTACTTAAATGTAATCCCCAATGCGTTTACTTTACGACTTTACTGATGTTAACCCCAACGAGTTCACTTTGTAACTAACTTGACTTGGCAGCTGAGTGTCGCCCTTATATAGCATTCGGCTACTCGTAGACGAAAGTGTAGAATAATCGAGTTATTCGCTATCGAAGGTACTCGTTTTATCGTTCTAGAATGTACTAGTTATCGGCTTCTCTCTTTCTTCTGAAATTCGTCTCGCATTTTCACAACACTGCCCTCCACCGAAATCTGATCGTCCCGATCAGACACATTCGCTGTTCCAACCTCAGCAAGCCTCTCAGGGTGGACCACTTTCATCTTGTTTCTTGGACTTGGACTCATTACATTGCCCTAATATAGTCCCTCCAGGAATTTTTACTGGTGATCTGAAGTCATTCAATACTCTCACCGGGATGCGTCCATTCTTTTCCGTCTTAGCCAGGGTTTTACCAATAAGTATATCCGGTGTAGAATCATGTGTTGCTTCGACGACCCACAATTTGCTTGTCCCACATTCTCCATTAATTTTTGCCCACACAACTGCTTCTGACTTTGGTGGAATCAGTTCGCTGCCTTCTAAGATCACTTGCTTGCGATACGGAGATTATGGAGCATTCAATTGCAGGAGCCAGGTTACGCCCCTTTAGGCTAGCTCGTTTTAGTTTAACGATTGAGAAGTCGATGGTTCATCTTCCTCTGCCTTACGTTTTCGCGGTACCTTCTGTCTGCTGGAACTTGTTTTGCATTCGCGTGCGTAGTGCCCAGGCTTCCCACATTTAAAACATTTTCCCGCTTGAG